ATTCAATACTACGCCTTGCAGAAAAAAGACGGGTTGGCGCCGGGCGTCGCGCCAAACGCAGTCACGCGAGCACGCCCCATCATCCGCAGCGAACCGGACCATACGACTGCGACTGAAAACTGGGTTTTTTTGCAAGGCAGCGAAACTTCTGCCTCTTGAAATTCGACTATTTTTCATGGTATAAATCAAACAGAGGTCAGCTCAAAGTAATATTCCTTTTAAAGGCACAAGCAGTGTAGTGGCAAGCGGTCCGTTCACTATATGCACCGCCCAGGAAACTAATGCCCGAACGGCTGCCGCAAAGGCCAAGTAACCCTTTCATCACCCAGCAAGAGCTGAGAGATCGGTACAAGTCCACCCACACATCTAGAAGAATGGAAGCATGGTTTCTATATCAACTGGCTAGCAAGCGATTTATAGGGTAATCGTTGCAAGTCTAGGTATCGAAGCAAGTGCTGCACCTTCAGGATAGCGAAGACGGAGTAGAGGGACGGCACCCAGGTATCACTACCCTCCAATCCCGTTCCGCGCATTTTACCGGAAAAAGTGGAACCCCACTGCAGCTGTGGACCCAATCGCGCACATGACATGGACCGTCCTTAGAGAGGAGTGTACAGTTTGTCTCCAAAGACACCTACTGAAATTGCCTGCTAAGTAAGATCTACTGCATAACCTCGTTCGGTCGGGCAGTCTCAGAGGTTGTCCTTATTCGCGAAACACCTGCACCCGATTAATGGATGAAATGGCTGGTCGAAGGAAAATCATCCAACAACCCTGGATAGGAGCGGTACAGCACAAAAAACTACTACCCATTCTGGGATACGGGAAGAGCTTCTCGAAACTCTACGAAACTCTACGAGCGCTCATGGGATGCGATATGAAATAACGATAACCGTAATTCCGCCACAAAGCCAAGAAAACTAAAGGACTTAAGAGAGATGCATAAGCAATAATTAGTTATTAATCATTGTCATTTGATTCGCCAGCGTACGCTGATAAATCTAGGCAAGCAAAAAAACATGTAGTTCCACTCCCCTCAATTTTCACTAACTTTTAAGAAGTTATTAGCAAAATGCCACCCTTCGCACACGTCACACATATCTCTACAGAAGAGCTGGATGAAAAAGTCATTATCCGCTTGTTGTCAGTTACCACCCACCAGACCAAAACTGCAATTGCAAGGATACACATAAATGACCAAAAAATCATGGTTCGATTTGCTAAGAAACACCCAGATAAATCGAAGAAGAAGCCTCGAGGACCCCCAAATGATGGATTCAATTGAACCTTCTCTTTGAAAAGCCAATTGGATTACACGAAACCAACGCCAAAATAATCATGAAATTGAAATTGGCACTGAACTTTATATCGAAAGCTGCCACTTAAGCTAAAGATTTGACGTACACTTCGTACCAATAATTCCAAGCCATGATAGCGAGTTCCATGTAAAAAGTTCCACATTCGACACTAAGTGTTAAATACTTACTTTTGACACTCCACACAAGTTGTTAGTAAACATTAACGCATAACAAATGAATAAAATAAAAACTAACTTGCGTAGTGGGGCACGTTAGGAGCAGTATGAAACAATCTGCAATGAAGAAAATAACAAAGTGGTCATGATTAAACCTAAGCTGAGTGACTTTGCTGGATCAGGGTATTGTAAACGGCAACATCAGCACTCTTTTTCGCCGGGCGAAGAACCCTAACTTCAAACCCACAATGTCTGGCGTCATTTGAATTCCCTGTGGGGGTCAATCAGCCCACATGCCGCGTGCCGCAACCATTGATGTGTTACCGAGACCTACCGGTACAGATAGGAAACTCACCACTTACTCACTCACTGTGAAGCCGCGAAAGTATCCCGGATTGAGGACCAGACCACTGTGTACAAGGAAAGGATGCCTACCAGCTGCTTGAGCTCGGGGACTGTTTTTAAGCCATAGTGAGCATCTCTTACCACGCCATTGCCAAAGCGATGACCTGATTTCAGTGTGGAACAGCGTTACTTATGTTCTATGCGCACCCTCTTTTAACAAGGCTGATAACCAAGTGCTCCACAAGCGGCTCTCTTTTCCTCAAATCAGCTCCCAGCCAGCGTGATTTCCATAGTAATCTGAGAGACAAGTTGAGGTTGATGGGAGGGAGAGATGTGCAAACAGGTGAGATCATCCAACCAGCAAAATCGAACCAACTTCAGCATCTTCAAAACTACCCATGCGAGAGGGGTGAGCATATTAATTTGAACACGCTTCAGAGCTTACCTATGAATTCCATGGCCACAGTAGGCTTTCACAACAGAAAAACCATTGGCATTAGCATGTTTTTGAATCACATTTCCAATTTCACGAAATTTTACACCCGGTCTGACTGAAACCAAATATCCATCAAACAAAAAAAGATGGGAAAATGAAATGCTTCTTCCGGGTTGCTGGGCAAAATCGCCAGAGCTGGAGAAAAAACGGAAATGTAAGTTCTTTAGAATATTACCTATAGAGATGGCTTGCTGCAAGCACTCATACGTGACACGGACAAGGTTCCGCGACTCTTCATCGACAGCGTCACCAACGAGAAAAGTCTCATTCAAATCCCCATGAAATCCGCGATGGTATACCGTAATGTCAACTGCAATGCTCTTCCATTAATTGAAAATTCACGAAGGAAAAGGAAATTATTGGGGAATAGAGGACACTTTTGTTCTCACCATTACACAGATCACCGTTCTCCAGAACTCGCAGATCTGGAATACCATGGCAGATAACCTCACTTCACGAGGTGTGCCACCAACGTCTTTGGGAAATGCTACTAAACTGGAAATATCTCAGTCGCAGATGCAATGCCTGATAAAATGTTATTAATATTGGGAACTCGACAGTGTTTTGGAAAATCCTGCTTTTATTTCAGTAAATAATAGTTTCGAAGAATGAATAGAGGAGAATTTACTTAATATTGAATCTCACGGTTAGCTGATTGAAGTATTAAAGGACTGTTAAGTGAACGACAGTAGTGCAGCAAACATATTCCTTAGATCCGTGAACTCTCATTAGGCCCGGACACCCTACTGAATCAATGACTGTTTTTGACCAGAGGTCTTACGATCAACTTACACATGATTCCACTACATATTATCCGCTAAAATTGTGTGTCTGTGTGTCAGTCTGCCTGCCTGTCCGTCTGTCTGTCTGCTGTCTGTCTGTCAGCCACTCAGTTGGCTGTATGTATGTCTGCCTGTCACGAAAATTCATAGCGCCCATTGCCGTATAAGGAGAACGTCGGAAGCAAGAAGTATGCGGGTTAACGGGAACTTCGGAAGCGATAACAACTGATAAGAATTGATAAAGGGCACTAAAAAAGGAGGGTCACTATATTCATAGCGCAGCGCCAACAACGCCTCGTTTTCTTACAGAGTGGCATAGGGTGGGATGGAGACATCGACGGCTGACAGAAGGCGATATCAACGAAAAATAGACAGTGTTAAGTTTCCAAAGAGCGCCATTAATGGGATGTTCGCTCACGCCTGCTTACGAGGTAAATAAATTAAATTTCGATGAAGTTCACGAAGTAAGTTACTCACCCCAGTGGGCTAGGATAACAATCTCTCTCAATGCAAGCCTCGTGCACAACTCGGTCAATTTCATCGGTGGTGACACCTGGTGCGCATGCTTTGGCGGCCTCGTTCAGGACCTCTCTACCCAGGCGACAGGCCACACGAAGACCCTCTTTTTCCTCATCGTTCAAGACCTGGAAAAGCTACTCACCTTGATGGGATGCGAAGGATGGAGACAATGTTTCTGAGGTTAATGCAGAGCGCATTCTCACCTTGATGTCCCTGTTCTTTTTCGCTTGACGTTCTTCAAATGAAACTCCTTGAGGATGTAAAGCATAGTCTGGACGTGGGATAGACTGTGGGACAGGTCGTCTTGGTGTGACCCTGGCAGGTCTTAAGGAGCCGGTGAACTAAATATTTGCATACAGTATGGCAATACTTGGTTAGAATTTGTACCATTTCAAATATTTTCACGAAAATAGCCGATCTACTTGAGTGACGAAAGTCTGCATGCTCGTAATTTGGCATTGAGGCGAACTCTACTTTCTCAGCATGCAAGTGGATGAGGAAGAAAAACAGACGAATAAAGGAAGACGGCACAGGAGACCTGCCTTCTGCTACATGAGGTCTACCTTTAAGACACATTAGTGACTGACCCGTAACGCTCATGACACAAATATGCTCCCATTCCCTGCTTATACCAACTTGACCTACAACAGTGAAGTTCCCAACATCAGGATTCCTAATGAAGGATTCTTATGTGATTCTCATTAGGAACAGGTGATATTGCAGAAAGGAAAATCTTCCAAAAAAAGTCAAACCGCTCCGAGCCCGTCAAGGGAGCCCAGTTGTAATAGGGTAAGTGTGGCTGAGATAAAACTGACTATTGCCCATAACACAGAAAATTTCTTCTATTGTGATATCGCAGCTTCTCCCCTAGTTCGCAACCAGAAATTTCACAAAACAAGCCGTGTTATAGGTAGAAGACATGACTTTAGGCAGAACTCACATCTGCTTCTCTCGCTCACCCAACAGTGTATAAACCATAAAACTGCCAAAGTAGCCTTTCACCGTGTCAGCAAATGAGTGAGCGTAGAGTGCAGGTTCGAGCCCCGCCTGGGACCAAGTCTTTTTTGGGAGACGGCAAGAGAACCGTAAATTGCCGCTTCGTCGCGCGCGGCAATGGGCGCGACGTTTCCTCAATTTGCACTACCCTTTCGATGGAGCATCGGATTTCATGTAGACAAGGACATGGTAGACACTTATGTCTATTTTTGGTCATACATTGTCTATTCTCGACCAATACCACCTGAAATCGTCGTCATTAGCGGGCGTGACGTCGCATGCGACGCCATTGACGCGGCATATTACGATTCTCTTGCCACTAACTGTCTTTTTTGCCCATAAGTGACAACAGCAAGCATGGACAGTACCAAGTATACTTACCTTGTAGTTAGGCCAAGGATTATATGGTGCGTCCGGATCCGTATGTTGATTTTTATGCGTGGCCCAATTCGCCTTGAAGCACACCTGAGAGAGCCTCACGAATGAGAAGTCATCTTCAAGAGACAACCTAATCCATACCTGATCACAGAAAAATGAATCCTTCAAACCCAGTTTGATGCAAGTCGGGCACCGCAGTTTCGCTGGTTTACCGCATTCTACGCCTTCGCATCTGCGCTCCGCGACCTCAGTCATTCCTGTATAAGCTGTTGAAACTGAGAAAAGTTTAAATTACAAACAATCCAGTTTCATAGAACGATCATTAAGGGGATCATTGTGGGGCGTCAACTGGGCGCCTGGTACGCAACAGAATATGGCAACTCGCATCTGATTCTACAGATCTGACCATCTTTCTTCCAATGATTTTCCCACTGATCGAAACGATCATTACTACCACCTCCAAGATAAAAAAACCAGACCGTTT